GAGGAGAGGAGAGGAGAGGAGAGGAGAGGAGAGGAGAGGAGAGGAGAGGAGAGGAGAGGAGAGGAGAGGAGAGGAGATATACACGTGAGGCCTCTGGTTCTGGTTTAATGCTGCAGCATATGTTGATGACACGCGACGTCATACACAAAGGGCAAGGAGGGATAGTCAGTGTACAGCAGCAGGGCTACTCAACATGCAGGTCAGCCATGGGCTGAATGTAGCCTGTCCATGGTGATAAATGAACAGAATATTTTGACACTAGATAATAACTTCAGAATATGTTACTTAACCATGTGGTACTCTAGTACTACAGTTTGTGTCTAGCAGTATCACATTTTTATGACACCAAAGATAGTGTTGTAACCATGTAACGTGTGTGTGTGTGTGTGTGTGTGTGTGTGTGTGTGTGTGTGTGTGTGTGTGTGTGTGTGTGTGTGTGTGTGTGTGTGTGTGTGTGTGTGTGTGTGTGCGCGTGTGTGTGTGCGTGCATTCATATGTGCGTGTGTGTGTCTAGTACAACATGTCCAGTGTGTTTTCGAGTGGAAATGAGCCAGCCGCATCATGGCCCTCCATCTCCAGCCCTCCCCAGTGGGCCTCTGGCGGAGCGCTAATCTGGGTCAAAGTGCAAACTGCTGAGAAGGGCCTGGGAGAGGCTCGCTCACACATGAATCATTTCTCACGCCTCCCGTCCTCATTACGCTTGCCACTGATGGAACCACAAAGCCTTTCATGTTTCCTTCTGACCTTAAAGGTAAATACCCAGATAACACTGTGGAAGCAGCCCGGCACCCAATTCACTGTAGCATTCATTGGCCCTACACCCCATCACGGAGACACTTTGAGGGTGTTGCTCCTTGGTTTGATCAGTCCCTGTCATTACAGTGGAACTCATATCCTCTTTCAATTGGCCGCTGTGATGTCACAAATGTATGTCAACAGTGCACTGTTCTCTCTCTCATCATAGTTCTGTCTTTAATTGATATCAATACAGTCATAATGACAAAGGCAATATCCCTTTCAAATCCAACATCACAGTGATACAGCCAGTTAATGATCAGTTGTGCAGTTGTCCAGGCGTGGCATGCCTCCATTTGGTGGCCTTGGAAATATATTATACAACCTGTAGCTCTGTCACTGGCCAACTAGAAGGAAATCCAACGGAAAAATACGGACCAATCCAATGTTGAAGAACCCTCTTTACAATCGCATTTCAATCATGGCTAGCGCCGAGCTATCAGGAGCGCTTGTACTGCAACCAAAGGACTGCCATTTGTTCCAAGTGTTTTGAAGCCTGATTGCGCTGAAGCTAGCATCAATGGGTGACACATGTTCAATATTTTATGAGGAACCCATTCCAGATGCTAGTGCAACTGTGCCACCTGCTCTGGTCCTTGCAACAACAACAAAAGCCTGGATGGTAATGAATGGCAATGAGTTTTAGGACTTGTACGTAGATCTAAAAAGCTTAGCTTCCTAGAAATCATAAAAAAATAGGTAATGGTGTTGAGTTGGAAGCATCCAAAACACTATGGACTTCTGTCAGACAGAGGGAGGCTTAGAGAGGATGGAAATGTAGACCTATGCAGTCACTACCGAAAGTCGCTCTGGATAAGAGTGTCTGCTAAATGACTAAAATGTTAATGAGAATGCAGGCAGGGAGGCAGCGGTATGAGGAATGTTTCTGATTTCCTGTTCTAAGGGGTTCCTGTTTGCGAGGTGCACCACCAAGCCCTTATGGGAGAACAGCTGGAGCTGCAGTTGTCAACGGGCTGGCTCTGGCTCCCATGGGGCGGTGGTGGCAGCGAGGGCCAGCTTGGACAGCATGTCTGGAGGGAAAACACATACGCACACACACACACACAGTGTGTGTCCCGGGGGGAATCACACACACAACCTCCCGTTAGAGTCTGTGCGCTCAGGCTGCTGACAGCGGTGACAGGCCTGGAGCAGGAGGGGAGTGTGTGTACATCTGTTTGGACCTTGGCACCGTTGAGCCTCTGGAGCTCCACACAGCCAGCCAGCTTGTCGGTACCGGTTACCGGTAGAACACAGCGTCTGGGCCCGGTGACGATGATCAGATCTGATAAGGTGTTGGCAGCTAAGTGAGCACATAGTCATGGTGCCGACAGACTGAGCAGAAGACAAGAGGGATGCAGAATCAATGGAGCTGTGCCCTGTAGTTTCAGTAGAAGTTAGAATACGAGGTAGTGGAATACAAGTTAGAATAGGAGTTAGTGGAATACAAGTTAGAATAGGAGTTAGTGGAATACAAGTTAGAATAGGAGTTAGTGGAATACAAGTTAGAATAGGAGTTAGTGGAATACAAGTTAGAATAGGAGTTAGTGGAATACAAGTTAGAATAGGAGTTAGTGGAATACAAGTTAGAATACGAGTTAGTGGAATACACGTTAGATTAGTAGTTAGTGGAATACAAGATAGAATAGGAGTTAGTGGAATACAAGTTAGAATATGAGTTAGTGGAATACAAGTTAGAATAGGAGTTGGTGGAATTCAAGTTAGAATCTGAGTTAGTGGAATACAAGTTAGAATAGGAGTTAGTGGAATACAAGTTAGAATAGGAGTTAGTGGAATACAAGTTAGAATACGAGTTAGTGGAATATAAGTTAGAATAGGAGTTAGTGGAATAGAAGTTAGAATACGAGTTAGTGGAATACAAGTTAGAATAGTAGTTAGTGGAATAGAAGTTAGAATACGAGTTAGTGGAATACAAGTTAGAATAGGAGTTAGTGGAATACAAGTTAGAATAGGAGTTAGTGGAATACAAGTTAGAATATGAGTTAGTGGAATACAAGTTAGAATAGTAGTTAGTGGAATACAAGTTAGAATAGGAGTTAGTGGAATACAAGCTAGAATATGAGTTAGTGGAATACAAGTTAGAATAGGAGTTAGTGGAATACAAGTTAGAATAGGAGTTAGTGGAATACAAGTTAGAATCGGAGTTAGTGGAATACAAGTTAGAATAGGAGTTAGTGGAATACAAGTTAGAATAGGAGTTAGTGGAATACAAGTTAGAATAGGAGTTAGTGGAATACAAGTTAGAATAGGAGTTAGTGGAATACAAGTTAGAATAGGAGTTAGTGGAATACAAGTTAGAATATGAGTTAGTGGAATACAAGTTAGAATAGTAGTTAGTGGAATACAAGTTAGAATAGGAGTTAGTGGAATACAAGTTAGAATAGGAGTTAGTGGAATCCAAGTTATAATAGGAGTTGTATCCTCTCAGGGTGGGGAACATGATTGACAATGTTCCAGCCTTGACAGTTGTAGCCTTGTTGGGGTGTATGGTAATATCTATGGATTGCATGATGAAATTGCTTTCAATCTTTTAATTTATTGCTCCAAAGAGTGATAGTGCACCAATAGTAATCCCCTTCGGTATGCTGCCTATGTTGATAATTCAGCATCTTTAGAAAAGAGGTCGTTATCTGACACAGTCCTTTAAGTCTTTGTAGATGGTAGATTCTCTTCATGTGACAAATTCCATAAGAATGTGGTAATTGGTCAACTGTTTGGCCAATTTGAATTCTTAGCAACAAAAAAAAATCACTTAATAATGAAGGGATTTATTATTCCGTGCTATGCTACAATTTTGTTATCAACAGCAGCCTCCGGTATTTCCCTCTTTTGTGGGAGAAAGAAAATCCATTGAAAGTGGCTGAAGGCCTGACACAAAGCAACTGCTGAACCCCTGCAAATCTGCAGGCTTAATTGATTATTTGTGCAGAGCTGTATATCTGTGAGGTGCAGGATACCCATGGGAAATAATGTAAAACAGATAACAAGATCAAATGTGGGAGAATTGCTTTCTGCTGCCCATTTTATTAATCTTTTTCCCCTTTCTCATTCACAATGTGTTTTCCATCCAGGTTTTCCCATTCCACGAGGCTCGCCATTTTTTTTTTGAAAAAGTGTCACTAAATTGGAGAGTTTAAAGTGACTTAGATTTAAAAGAAAAGTGTTTGTTAAGGGTTTATTTTGACGTCTGAATATCACATTGAGACTCCAAGGTTGTTCCCACCTCACACTCCCAGAGGACAACTCTTTACTACAAAATCTTTACTTCATTATTCCGGCTTCCTCAGTGCCCTGCTGCCAGTAGATGGTAAGGGAATGAATTCATTTTGTAGATAATACTGTACACAAACACATTGAAAAGCTTGGTATTCTTGATTATTTTATTGCCAGAGCTTGTCAAATTCAGGTTTCAGAGATATTTCACTTTTGCTTTGACAGTGTAACCATTCTGTATAATATTCAATATAATATAATTTTATTCAAGTGGGGTAAGCTTCAGAGGAGTCGAGACTTGAGAGGCATTAGTGGAAATTGTGAAATTTGACTTGAGTTTTGTAGTTACTGTGCTCAACTCAACGTCCTTTAACTACTTGTTTCTTTCCTCGCTCTTCACATTCGTTTCACATACTGTAAGTGATAGGTAGCAGTCTTTCATAGATAGCTATCAAACCATTTCCAACTGATTTCAGAGACCACTACAGCGTGTTGTGTACTGTTATGATATCATAAGTAGTATTCTATCAATGAGTGGCAGTGGTGCGGTTTCTTTGGTTCAGTTCAGAGTATAATGGATCTTTAACACTGTCCTGCTGCAATGTTACAGCAGGGAGATCGGAGGGCTGAGGGAGTGATTGACTGCCATTATGACAGCCCATTAAAACACACTTACCCCTTTCTCTGCAAACCACAGACAAAGCTCCTCTGGTCTCATGCTAGTCAAATACACACACGCACGCACGCATGCACTCGTGCATACACATTCATATTTTAGAGACAGTCCGGTATGCTTATAGACACCTACCCTCAAAAACATGCCAACACACACACTCACACATCCAAGCTCTTTTGATTCGATTCTGGTACAGGATATGCATATTGCATATCAAAAGCCATTCCTTTTGGGGAAAGCAGTGCAGATTTGGGGCACATCCTTGCCACAGCAGCTCTTTGAGTGTGCAGTAAGAATGGAGAGAGTGGAGCAGGTACCCGCAGCTGTGCCTTTGGCAGGTTTAGCCACAGCAGCCTCTGTCGAGCCCGAGCCCAGATAGACTGAATTATTGAAACAAGGGATGCGTCCCAAATGGCACCCTATTCCCTTTATAGAGCACTACTTTTTCACCAGCGCCCTGCTTTTGACTAGTACTCGAAAAGGGTGCCATTCGGGATGCAGGCAAGCAGCCAGTACTGAGTGCTAATCCAACCTGCATTATCAGGACACCAAATCCACCACTCATGTGTGAGAGAGAGAATACCACCCAGCCAGGATGAAGCTGAACATTCTAAAATTGCCCAGTTGTGTAATTGTAGTATTCAGTCTGCAGTGGTCCAGGTAACATTTATTTTGTTTATTTCAATATGCTTTTGTTTCTTTTACCATCTCCCTGTTGTCATTTGCTTGCTTTCCCGTAACGTAGTTTAAAAAAGCGACAGAAAAATGTTGCCGGTGCCACATTTTGCTGTGGCTGTTGGCTTTTGACAGGAAGAGGTGAGAGAGGTGACCAAGGAACTGTTTTATCAGGTGGTTGTGTTGAGTCCACTGTGCTGCTACTGCGGAGTGAAGTCAGCACTGCAGCTTTTTGGCTGATGTCAGTCATCCACACTACAGAGGTACCTTTGGAGGGACATACAGATGTAGGATCTTAACGTGATTACTCTTTTGTTGCCGAGAATGTTCCTGCACCACAGAAAATGCAGATGAGCTTTGTGATTTACATCAATTCACTGAAAACCCACACTAACTCACGGTTATATTAACAATATGTCATTGTTTATCTGGACTACTTTTAACCAGCTAATAGCCTAACTACCGATCAAGCAACATTATGGAATAAACGTTCAAATCCTCTTGCTGCAGGATTATTTAGCTGTGGCAATATACAGAGCCTTCGGAAATTATTGAGACCCCTTGACTTTTTCCACATTTTGTTACGTTACAGCCTTATTCTAAAATGGATTAAATAAAAAAATACCTCAGCAATCGAAACACAATACCCCATAATGACAAAGCGAAATAAGGTTTTTAGCCATTTTTGCAAATGTCTTACAAAAATGTACATAAGTATCCAGACCATTTGCTATGAGACTCGAAATTGAGCTCAGGTGCATCCTGTTTCCATTGAGATGTTTCTACAACTGTGGTAAATTCAATTGTTTGGACATGATTTGGAAAGGCACACACCTGTCTATACAGTGGGGAGAACAAGTATTTGATACACTGCCGATTTTGCAGGTTTTCCTACTTACAAAGCATGTAGAGTTCTGAAATTTTTATCATAGGTACACTTCAACTGTGAGAGACGGAATCTAAAACAAAAATCCAGAAAATCACATTGTATTTTATTGCATGACATAAGTATTTGACCACCTACCAACCAGTAAGAATTCCGGCTCTCACAGACCTGTTAGTTTTTCTTTAAGAAGCCCTCCTGTTCTCCACTCATTACCTGTATTAACTGCACCTGTTTGAACTCGTTACCTGTCCACACACTCAATCAAACAGACTCCAATCTCTCCACAATGGCCAAGACCAGAGAGCTGGGTAAGGACATCAGGGATAAAATTGTAGACCTGCACAAGGCTGGGATGGGCTACAGGACAATAGGCAAGCAGCTTAGTATGAAGGCAACAACTGTTGGCGCAATTATTAGAAAATGGAAGAAGTTCAAGATGACGGTCAATCACCCTCGGTCTGGGGCTCCATGCAAGATCTCACCTCGTGGGGCATCAATGATCATGAGGAAGGTGAGGGATCAGCCCAGAACTACACGGCAGGACCTGGTCAATGACCTGAAGAGAGCTGGGACCACAGTCTCAAAGAAAACCATTAGTAACACACTACGCCGTCATGGATTAAAATCCTGCAACGCACGCAAGGTCCCCCTGCTCAAGCCAGCGCATGTCCAGGCCCGTCTGAAGTTTGCCAATGACCATCTGGATGATCCAGAGGTGGAATGGGAGAAGGTAATGTGGCCTGATGAGACAAAAATATAGCTTTTTGGTCTAAACTCCACTCGCTGTGTTTGGAGGAAGAAGAAGGATGAGTACAACCCCAAGAACACCATCCCAACCGTGAAGCATGGAGGTGGAAACATCATTATTTGGGGATGCTTTTCTGCAAAGGGGACAGGACGACTGCACCGTATTGAGGGGAGGATGGATGGGGCCATGTATTGCGAGATCTTGGCCAACAACCTCCTTCCCTCAGTAAGAGCATTGAAGATGGGTCGTGGCTGGGTCTTCCAGCATGACAACGACCCGAAACACACAGCCAGGGCAACTAAGGAGTGGCTCCGTAAGAAGCATCTCAAGGTCCTGGAGAGGCCTAGCCAGTCTCCAGACCTGAACCCAATAGAAAATCTTTGGAGGGAGCTGAAAGTCCGTATTCCCCAGCGACAGCCCCGAAACCTGAAGGATCTGGAGAAGGTCTGTATGGAGGAGTGGGCCAAAATCCCTGCTGCAGTGTGTGCAAACCTGGTCAAGACCTACAGGAAACGTATGATCTCTGTAATTGCAAACAAAGGTTTCTGTACCAAATATTAAGTTCTGCTTTTCTGATGTATCAAATACTTATGTCATGCAATAAAATGCAAATTAATTACTTAAAAATCATACAATGTGATTTTCTGGATTTTCACAGTTGAAGTGTACCTATGATAAAAATTACAGACCTCTACATGCTTTGTAAGTAGGAAAACCTGCAAAATCGGCAGTGTATCAAATACTTGTTCTCCCCACTGTATATAGGTCCCACAGTTGACAGTGGATGTCAGAGCAAAAACCAAGCCATGAAGTCAAAGGAATTGTCCTTAGAGCTCAGAGACAGGATTGTGTTGAGGCACAGATCTGTGGAAGGATACCAAAACATTTCTGCAGCATTGAAGGTCCCCAAGAACACAGTGGCCTCCATCATTCTTAAATGGAAGAAGTTTGGAACCACCAAGACTCTTCCTAGAGCTGGCCGCCCGGCCAAACTAAGCAATCGGGAGAGAAGCTCTAGAGTTCCTCTGTGGAGATGGGAGAACCTTCCAGAAGGACAACCATCTCTGCAGCACTCCACCAATCAGGCCTTTATGGTAGAGTGGCCAGACGGAAGCCACTCCTCAGTAAAAGGAACATGACAGCCCGCTTGGAGTTTGCTAAAAAGGACTCTCAGACCATGAGAAACAAGATTCTCTGGTCTGATGAAACCAAGATTGAACTCTTTGGCCTGAATTCCAAGCATCACGTCTGGAGGAAACCTGGCACCATCCTTATGGTGAAGCATGATGGTGGCAGCATCATGCTGTGGGGATGTTTTTCGGCGGCAGGGACTGGGAAACTCGTCAGGATCGAGGGAAAGATTAACAAAGCACAGTACAGCGAGATCATTGATGAAAACCTGCTCCAGAGCGCTCAAGACCTCAGACTGTGGCGGAGGTTCACCTTCCAACAGGACAACGACCCTAAGCACACAGCCTAGACAATGCAGGAGTGGCTTCGGGACAAGTCTCTGAATGTCCTTGAGTGAACCCGATCTCTGGAGAGACCTGAAAATAGCTGTGCAGCAACGCTCCCCATCCAACCTGACAGAGCTTGAGAGGATCTGCACTGAAGAAGGGAGAAACTCCCCAAAAACAGGTGTGCTAAAGGTGCTTCAGCAAAGTACTGGGTAAAGGGTCTGCATACTTATGTAAAAGTGATATTTCCGTTTTTTATTTGATATAAATTAGCAAAAATTTCTAAAAACCTGTTTTTGCTTTGTCATTTTGGGGTATTGTGTGTAGATTGATGAGGGGGGGGGGGAACAATTTAATCCATTTCAGAATAAGGCTGTAACGTAACAACATTCTGAAAAAGTCAAGGGGTCTGAATACTTTCCGAAGCCACTGTAGGTCAAATTAAGATCCTACATCTGAAATGATCCGGCCTGTTCTCACTCTATCCCACATCAGCTAAAACCTGCCACTTTGTGGTCCCTTCAACAACCAGGGTTGGCCAGCCCTGCAGTTCAGATATTTAATGGGAGTGTAGCAGTGTAGGCTACTATTTGAGAGAGAGATAGATAGATAGAGAGAGAGAGAGAGAGAGAGAGAGGAGAGGTGATAGAGTAGAGAGTCGAAGGGGAGAGAGAGACACGATCTATCGGCGCTCGTAGTCTCAGTATAGCTCGCGACTAGAGCGCTCCGTCTCCTATCGGAGCTCTCTCTTCTCTCTCTCTCTCTCTCTCTCTGTCTCTCGTCTCTCTTTCTTCATCTCTCTCTCGCTACTCTCTCTCTCTCTCTCTCTCTCTCTCTCTCTCTCGCTCTCTAGACTATTTGTTCACAGCTTGTCAGTGAAGATGAAGAGAGATTCTTGTTTGGCTCAAGATGATATTATTAATATTATTAGAACTCTTGGCCACTAATTAATTCATTTACTGTTGGCAGGTGTTTCTTTAGGCTACCATCATAATTCATATGATTAGAACAAAGGTTCCATCAATACCTATTATTTTAGAATGATTTGTTCAATACCTCTTCTAATTTATTTTCCATTTTATATACCTTAACAGTTGGCTACTACAGGACGTTGAGATATACCAACGTAGAAATTAAAGGAGCGTTGTCTTTTCAAATGTTTTCAGCTCTGTAGGCCATAATTATGCAAAATAGCAAAAGCATCAACAGCGTCTAATTACGCACAACCAATACCAATCATGATTGAATAAATAGCCTTCAAAGAGACAGGATGTTAGCATTAGATGGATATGTTAGAGTCAGTTTTAGACCCCGAACAGAAAGGTATTGACCAGCCCTATTCCCAGGTGAGCCAGGCAGTGTTCGTGATCGATGTGTGTGTGGTCATTGAACCAAGCTTAAAGCTAGTTTGTATTCCATTAGGCATCTCTGGGGCTTTGTAGCACTGTCAGAAAAGAGCTTGCTGACGCCTAATTGCGGTCTAGAAAAAAAACTAGATATTTGTATGTCACTCTTCGTATTCTTTGATCAATTTCTGGTGGTACTAGTTGTATTCCACTAGAATATTCGTATGTCAATTGTTTGCCAGTACCATGTTATTTTGAAAATAGTATTTTCCCACTATGCACTATGATCAGGAAGAGTTGTACTAACGTGATTTTAGCAGAACAAGGTGATGCTTGAAAGAACAGGAAATGATTCATAACCACTTCATCTGATGGCAGTCTGTAGGCCAACCCAGTCTCATTAACTATATGTTCCATCTCAACATTTTGCTAAGCAGCTTGCTGATGTGCCATTCCCCCTGTGTTACCCTGCAGATCCCAGTGAGAGTGTCTCCATCATGAGGCTGGTGTGGAAGTCCCTGGACAAGATGAGGTGTTTCCGTAAACGCTCCACCATCCCCTTCCTGGGTGTCCTAATCACCTGTCTACTCTTCCTCAACCTGTACATGGAGGATGGATACGTCCTGGTGAGACTTATTCTATATTCTTCACTTGAGTCATAAAGGGCAAGTTCACCCAATTCTTTTAAAGTTCAGATGTTTAAAGTGTAAAGGCAAGCTCCGATCCCAAATAAAGGAAAATAATTAAATAGGCACAATATAATTACGACTATTTAGATGGTGCCTCTCTGCTCCATGATTTTGGGATTGAGGCCTGCAGATTCCCGCTGATGTAGGATCCACACAGCAGATGGCATAGAATATGGATTCCAAATTAGATATATTTTGGGGTATTAAAACATCTGACGGTGGACTACCCTCTTCTACCTCTCTCCTCTCCTTCAAACAGCATCATTTTCATCCACAAGTTCACTCTAGTATTTAACCATGTTGTCCCTTTTAGAATTACTTGTTTTCAAAAGGCAACATATTTTCATGATGTGGACGCAGAGTCGATTATTTATTTTTTATTCATGATGCCATCACATCTTGGTGATCATAACACATTATCCGTATTTGTTATTTAAATTATTGAGGAGTTTTTGCATATTTTCAATGACCTTGTGCTCTCACAAAGTCAATTTCCTTGGCAATGAAAAACGCCTCAATGGTTTTAGAACTCTTTGAAATCAGTATGACGTATCTACATTTATTATCGGTTGGCTAACCCTTACTTTTTCTTTTTATACAGGATATTCTTAAGGAGTTTTAAAACCAAAATGTGTTATTTTTACCTCTGTATTATTTACAGACGGATATGAGACGTGTCAAGGAAATTAGTTGACTTTGCTGTGTGTGTTTGTCTGTAGCTGAGATGAGACCTTGGTTTGTTTGTCATTCACTATGTGAAGTCATCTCATCTGATCTGTTGTCTTTGTTCTGTGTTGTAGGAGGAGGATAAAAGACCGCTGAGAGAGACATCAATGCATCCTTCAAACTCTGAGAGATATGTTCACACCTTCAGAGACCTCACTAATTTCTCTGGAACCATAAACGTCACATATCGTTACCTCGCTGGGAACCCACTGCCCCGAAAGAGTAATTGTATCTTTGACTGTCAATACATGTTGTTTTACCTTGGTCACTTTCATCTTTCACTATATATACAGTACCAGTCAAAAGTTTGGACACACCTACTCATTCAAGGGTTTTTCTTTATTTTTACTATTTTCTACATTGTAGAATAATAGTGAAGACATCAAAACAATGAAATAACAAATATGGAATCATGTAGTAACCAAAAAAGTGTTAAACAAATCAGAATATATTTTATATTTGAGATTCTTTAAAGTAGCCACTCTTTGCCTTGATGACAGCTTTGCACACTCTTGGCATTCTCTCAACCAGCTTCATGAGGTAGTCACCTGGAATGCATTTCAATTAACAGGTGTGCCATGTTAAAAGTTAATTTGTGGAATTTCTTTCCTTCTGAATGCGTTTGATCCAATCAGTTGTGTTGTGACAAGGTAGGGGTGGTATACAGAAGATAGCCCTATTTGGTAAAAGACCAAGTCCATATTATGACAAGAACAGTTCAAATAAGCAAAGAGAAACGACTGTCCATCATTACTTTAAGACATGAAGGTCAGTCAATCCGTAACATTTCCGGAACTTTTAAAGTTTCTTCAAGCGCAGTTGCAAAAACCATCAAGCGCTATGATGAAACTGGCTCTCATGAGGACCGCCACAAGAAAGGAAGACCCAGAGTTACCTCTGCTGCAGAGGATAAGTTCATTAGAGTTAACTGCACCTCAGATTGCAGCTCAAATAAATGCTTCACAGAGTTCAAGTAACAGACACATCTCAACATCAACTGTTCAGAGGAGACTGCGTGAATCAGGCCTTCATGGTCGAATTGCTGCAAAGAAACCACTACTAAAGGACACCAATAAGAAGAAGAGACTTGCTTGGGCCAAGAAACATGAGCAATGGACATTAGACCAGTGGAAATCTGTTCTTTGGTCTGATGAGTCCAAATTTGAGATGTTTTGTTCCAACCGCCGTGTCTTTGTGAGACGCAGAGTAGGTGAACGGATGATCTCCGCATGTGTGGTTCCCACCGTGAAACATGGAGGAGGTGTGATGGTGTGGGGGTGCTTTGCTGGTGACACTGTTGGTGATTTATTTAGAATTCAAGGCACCATTAACCAGCATGGCTACCACAGCATTCTGCAGAGATACGCCATCCCATCTGGTTTGGGCTTACTGGGACTATAATTTGATTTCTCAACAGGACAATGACCCAACACACCTCCAGGCTGTGTAAGGGCTATTTGACCAAGAAGGAGAGTGATGGAGTGCTGCATCAGATGACTTGGCCTCCACAATCACCCGACCTCAACCCAATTGAGATAGTTTGGGATGAGTTGGACCGCAGAGGGAAGGAAAAGCAGCTCAGGATGTGTGCTCAGGATATGTGGGAACTCCTTGTTGGAAAAGCATTCCAGGTGAAGCTGGTTGAGAGAATGCCAAGAGTGTGCAAAGCTGTCATCAAGGCAAAGGGTGGCTACTTTGAAGAATCTCAAATATAAAATATATTTTGATTTGTTTAACACCTTTTTGGTCACTACATGATTCCATATGTCTCCTGAGTGGCGCAGTGGTCTAAGGCACTGCATCGCAGTGCTAATTGTGCCACTAGAGATCCTGGTTCGAATCAAGGCTCTGTCGCAGCTGGCTGTGACCGGGAGACTCATGGGCGGCGCACAATTGGCCCAGGGTAGGGGAGGGAATGGCCGGCAGGGATGTAGCTCAGTTGATAGAGCATGGCGTTTGCAACGCCAGGGTTGTGGGTTCGATTCCCACGGGGGGCCAGTATAAAAAAATATATATTATTCACTAACTGTAAGTCGCTCTGGATAAGAGTGTCTGCTAAATGACTAAAATGTGTTATTTCATAGTTTTGATGTCTTCACTGTTATTCTACAATGTAGAAAATAGTAAAAATAAAGAAAAACCCTTGAATGAGTAGGTGTGTCCAAACTTTTGGCTGGTACTGTATATGTTTTTTTTAAATGTTTTATTATTTCACAAATAATGTTTTCAATGTACGCTATAATAATATAGATGTTTGTGTTTCTAGAATATCTAACCATTGGGTTGTCATCTGTGAAAAGAAAAAGAGGAAATTACCTCATGGAGACGATCAAGTCCATTTTTGACCAGTCCAGTTATGAGGAGCTGAAAGAGATTGTCGTGGTGGTCCACCTGGCAGACTTTGACCTGGCCTGGTGTGAAAACCTGGTGCAGGACATCTCCAGGAAGTTTGCCCACCACATCATTGCTGGGCGTCTCCTGGTGATCCATGCCCCTGAGGAGTACTATCCATCACTGGTTGGGCTAAAAAGGAACTACAATGACCCAGAGGACAGGGTACGCTTCCGCTCCAAGCAGAACGTGGACTATGCCTTCCTCCTCAATTTCTGCACCAACCTTTCTGATTTCTACATGATGCTGGAGGACGATGTGCGCTGCTCACGGAACTTCCTGACATCCCTGAAGAAGGTGGTCACCTCCAGGGAAGGCTCCTACTGGGTGATGCTGGAATTCTCCAAGCTTGGCTACATAGGGAAGCTCTACCACTCAAGAGACCTGCCGCGCCTGGCCCACTTCCTGCTCATGTTCTACCAGGAAATGCCCTGTGACTGGCTCCTCATTCACTTCCGGGATCTGCTGGCCCAGAAAGACGTGATCCGCTTCAAGCCCTCCTTGTTCCAGCACATGGGCTACTACTCCTCATATAAGGGGGCAGAGAACAAGTTGAAGGATGATGACTTTGAAGAAGACTCCATTGATATCCCTGACAACCCTCCTGCCAGCCTGTACACAAACATTAATGTATTTGAAAATTATGACGCCACCAAGGCTTACAGCAGTGTGGACGAATACTTTTGGGGGAAACCCCCTTCTACCGGAGACTTCTTTGTCATAGTCTTTAACAAATCAACTAAAATAAGCAAAATCAAAATCGTGACAGGAACGGACGATCGTCAGAACGATATCCTGCACCATGGAGCTCTGGAAGTAGGAGAGAAGCTGGTGGGGACAAAGAGAGGAAGGCAGTGTTCTTCCTACATCACTTTAGGGGAGTTTAAATATGGCAACATTGAGGTTCAAGACGTGGACCACAAGATTGCCTTTGACATTGAGTGTGTCCGTATTGTGGTGACTGCCAGTCAGAAAGAATGGCTGATTATTAGGAGTATAAGCTTGTGGACTACACAACCTCCCAGTCAATGAGGGCAATACAAAAACAGTTGGTTTAGACAACAGTTAGTTTAGCAATTCATTTGACAATATATTTATTTATGTACTTATTAATGTATTTATTTATACATTTTGACATTTATTTTATAATTTATTTCCACATTTATTTATTTCATTTTATAGTATACTGTATGTATTCATTTATATTTTGATCTAGATTTTTTATATTTGAAGGTACCTTTATTGAATTATACAGTTATGGAAATCATCACAATCCATGTTTTTAAGGATTGTCTGACTGACCTCTTTTATGGGTGTGAGTTTATAGGAATGATCTGTTGGTTATTTCACTCATGATGTTATTTATTTTTCTTTACATTTTTCTCAGTGTCTTTCCACATCGAAAGCAGCCTCTGGGTCCTCTGGTCTTGAACAGTGTTGCTTAATAAATAACACCCCTGCAGACAATTTTAGCCCTAGGAACATATCATTGCTCCAAATGTTCTTGCTATCAGTAAATAACTCCATTCACCCCTTTCCAAAGTTATTATTTACATGTTACCTTATAAGCATTATGATGGTAATTATTTCCACAAATATCCATTTTGTCAGGGCTTTACTTTCATAAGTGCTCCTTCAATCCCTCCTATCTAGGCTGGCGTTGTGTTGAAGTGTTGGAGCGAGCTGTGCTATTTCCCTGGCACTGTATGTTCCATCAGAACCACTGACGGGAGAACAATGTTTATTTTCACCCATCTTCTCTAACAGCTCAGATCGGATCGTGAAAAATGGGGTGGACCTGATCTTTCCCTTTTTTCCACCACAGTACTATTTTACCCCAGTAAATTGGTTTGTGTTTGGCACTCTCTCTGCTCTACACCAGCAAACAACAACCCCCCTGGAGCTCTCAAGTAAATTCTCTCTCTTTCCCCAATGTTGTGTTCTCAGCCGCTAACGTATCTTCTCTTAGAATGTTTCTGTAATATATAAACAAATACACTTTACTCTGTGTAGTACCCATGGGCCATGGTATACTATGTACTGTGTTTTGGTACAGTACATACAATTATATCCCCAGCTACTTTATCATAATACCTCTGTCAAGAACTTAACGCCACCGGCTGTAAAATGTTCAGTAATGTCAATTAATAAAATATACCCTGTAATTTTGAAAAACATTACATATAAAGTAAATTCTCAAATGAGATAAGGACTACTGTCATAACAATTCAGAAAAGATTTTGAAGAATCACCTTGTCCTCTCCTTTTTCATACAATGTTGTTCTGTTAGCAAGTGTAGCTTTGTGACAAATATCTTTCCATAATCAAGACCATCAACACTTTCAACAAATCTTTGCAATTCAATAAAATGATAAATGTTTGCATACATGATACCAAAATTCTGTTGAAATAACAAAGGAGGAGGTGGAGGCATGGTTCAAAAACCTACAGCAGTTTTTTTTCTTCACAAAATGCCTTGTTATGGTATCTGTGCTATTTAAATCAATAACATTCATTTCTAAAGCCCATTTTACATCAGCAGTTGTCACGAAGTGCTTATACAGAAACCCAGCTTAAAACCCCAAAGAGCAAGTAATGCAGATGTAGAAGCACAGTGGCTAGGAAAAACTCCCTACAAAGGAACCTAGGAAGAAAGCTAGAGAGGAACCAGGCTCTGAGGGGTGGCCAGTCCTCTTCTGGCTGTGCCAGGTGGAGATTATAAGGGTATATGGCCTGTTCCATGTTGTTCTCCCATTTGGTCTTGTTCAGACACAGATCAAGGGTTTCTCTTTATCTATGGCTCTCGTCTATTCATTACAAGCTTCTGTGTGCCAAATCACCTTGAATAACAACCTTTTCCTTCTTATCAAACATCTGATTATTTGATTTGCCCCAGCCTCTTATGGCTTCAGAATGTAATTATTTGCATATTGACTGTTGATAGCTCCTCCTTTCAATACTATTGCTATGGACATAATTAAACTGTAGTGTTCTGTACAAACAAACATTTACATTTTAGCAGACGCTTTTATCCAGAGCTATTATGGTTAGGAGCCTTTCTCAAGGTCACTTTGACAAATGTTTGACGTAGTCGGCTCTGGGATTCAAACCAACAACCTTTTGGTTACTGGCCCAACGCTCTTAACCACTAGGCTACCTGCTGCCCCATCATCTTCTGTACAGGTCATCAAAATACAGTTGAAGTCGGAAGTTTACATACGCTTAGGTTGGAGTCATTAAAACTCATTTTTCAACCACTCCACAAATGTCTTGTTAACAAACTATCGTTTTGGCAAGTCGGTTAGGACATCTACTTTGCATGACACAAGTAATTTTTCAAACAATTGTTTACAGACAGATTATTTCACTGTATCACAATTCCAGTGGGTCAGAAGTTTACATACTCTAAGTTGACTGTGCCTTTAAACAGCTTGGAAAATTCCAGAAAATGATGTCACGGCTTTAGAAGCTTCTGATAGGCTAATTGACATACTTTGAGTCAATTGGAGGTGTACCTGTGGATGTATTTCAAGGCCTACCTTCAAACTCAGTGCCTCTTTGCTTGACGTCATGGGAAAATCAAAATAAATCAGCCAAGACCTCAGAAAATAAATTGTAGACCTCCACAAGTCTGGTTCATCCTCGGGAGCAATTTCCAAATGCCTGAAGGTACCACGTTCATCTGTACAAACAATAGTACGCAAGTATAAACACCATGGGACCACGCAGCCGTCATACCGCTCAGGAAGGAGACGCATTCTGTCTCCTAGAGATGAACGTACTTTGGTGCGAAAAGTGCAAATCAATCCCAGAACAACAGCAAAGGACCTTGTGAAGATGCTGGAGGAAACAGGTACAAAAGTATCTATATCCACAGTAAAACGAGTCCTATATCGACATAACCTGAAAGGCCGCTCAGCAAGGAAGAAGCAACTGCTCCAAAACCGCCATAAAAAAGCCAGACTACGGTTTGCAACTGCACATGGGGACAAAGAGCGTACTTTTTTGAGAAATGTCCTCTGGTCTGATGAAACAAAAATAGAACTGTTTGGCCATAATGACCATCTGTCACGCCCTGACTCAGGGGACGCTTATTTGTTGAGTCAGGGTGTGTATATTCTATGTTGTGTAGTTCTATGTTGTATTTCTAGTATGTCTAGATCTATGTTGGCCGGTGTGGTTCCCAATCAGAGGCAGCTGTCGCTCGTTGTCTCTGATTGGGGACCATACTTAGGCAGCCTATTGGCACTAGTGGGTTATGGGATCTTGTTCCGTGAAAGGTAAGTTGTTTGTGTCTACCTTGGACTTCACGTTTCGTTTTGGTTTGTTGTTTTGTCGCTGTGTTTATTCGGTTCAAATAAACATGTATGCATATCACGCTGCGCCTTGGTCTGACCCGTTCATCAACAAACGTGACACCATCGTTATGTTTGGAGGAAAAAGGGGGTGATTGCAAGCCGAAGAACACCATCCCAACCGTGAAGCACGGGGGTGGCAGCATCATGCTGTGGGGGTGCTTTGCTCCAGGAGGGACTGGTGCACTTCACAAAATAGATGGCATCATGAGGAAGGAAAATTATGTGGATATATTGAAGCAACATCTCAAGACATCAGTCAGGAAGTTAAAGCTTGGTCGCAAATGGGTCTTCCAAATGGACAATGACCCCAAGCATACTTCCAAAGTTGTGCCAAAATGGCTTAGGGACAACAAAGTCAAGGTATTGGAGTGGCCATCACAAAGCCCTGACCTCAATCCTATAGAAAATGTGTGGACAGAACTGAAAAAGCGTGTGCGAGCAAGGAGGCCTGACTCAGTTACACCAGCTCTGTCAGGAGGAATGGGCCAAAATTCACCCACCTTATTGCGGGAAGCTTGTGGAAGGCTACCCGAAACGTTTGACCCTAGTTAAACAATTTAAAGGCAATGCTACCAAATACTAATTGAGTGTATGTAAACTTCTGACCCACTGGGAATGTGATGAAAGAAATAAAAGCTGAAATAAATCATTCTCTCTACTATTATTCTGACATTTGACATTTTTAAAATAAAGTGGTGATCCTAACTGACCTAAAACAGGAAAATGTACTAGGATTAAATGTCAGGGATTGTGAAAAACTGAGTTCAAATGTATTTGGCTAAGGTGTATGTAAACTTCCAACTTCAACTGTATATATGACTTCTTCTTAAGCCCATTCTACAAAATTATATAGTTTCACTTCAAATCCTCTGCCGTTTAGAGCATAATATCTTACTGCAAACATTATTAAAAGGCCCAGCGTGACACTTTCATTCAAATTTTGTGAACTTTATTGAAAAGTGTAAGAACATTATTACAGAATGCAATAAAATATATGTGCTGATGTACACAACAGTGCCAACGAATCAGGTCAGTGTACTACCTGTAATAATACAGCTTACGTCTTGGACATGTCGCAGTAGGATCCCTGGTTTTCCTGGAATCCCTGGGTATATTCCTGGGATAGAGATTGTGATTCCAAGATTCCCTTATTTGATCCCAGAGGTTGTTGTACATGGATATTACTTGAGGGAAAATGTATGTCATAGCTGAAGAAAGACTGAAGTCAAAACTAGCATTTACATCTTGGGGGGAAACATAGAAATATGAATAATTTCTGTTCAGCTCAGTGTCAGCAAACTGATGCGTACAGTTTTTTTGCCTTTGGCGACTTGTCTTCAAACAGCAATATCTCCTAATACTTTTTAGTGAGCTCAACGTATACATTATGTGGTAGCAAATGCACCCCATTAGATAATTCAAGGGTGGTTTTTTATAATAATTTCCAACAGATCAGTAGCCATGCTACCCAGGAGCCTTCTGTCACTGTTCCCATAGCAATGTAATAGAAAGCAGTGTATAAATGGAAATTCTAGGTTGTTGGGAAGTTTTGCTGTCTTCCAATTGTGAGTGTACAAAGGTGCATGCATCTGAACAACACCAAGTGTTAAGTGGGTCATTGAATCCTTTTATATTCCAGGATCTATAACTTGTTGTCCAGCATCTGCAGTGGAA